AGGATGAAAGTTAAAAAAAAATATACAGAGATTAAAATTAAAATTTACTCATTTTATAAGTATAAAAAATAATTATTCTAAATTTTGGAGAGATAAAAGAAATACTTTTTTTTATATAAAAATCAAAACCAAAACTCTTATAAGAACTAAATCATATTTAACTCTTTAATAATTTTTAATTAATAAAAAATATATTAGAGGAAATATGTTAAAAAAATATTACAAGCATTCTCAAAATTATATATCTAACTCTCATTCTCTATGTATCTAAAGTAGAAAAGCGTCTTCGACTTTTTCATCCTTTTTTTTTTGCACATCAAGCATGTAATTAAGAATTTTAGTACATCGTCTTAAAGCATTTTAATGATAATTTTTTTATTAAAAAAAAAACTAACATGATTTTGCTGATAGATAATAAGAGTTAATTTGGATGATAAACTAAAATTAACATTATAATTTTTTTCAAAAAAAAATATAATTAATTCTAAATTTTATATTTGTGTTGAATAACGAATCATGACACAAATTTAAAACTACAATTAATTATAAGATGTGAGATTTAAAAATTAGACTTAAAAATGAAAACATCATGTTTAACCATGTTATATTCTGTTTCAAAATATTTATTTTGCGTGCACATATATTTAAATGGTTTATCAGATAACTTATACCAATTATAGATAAGTGAGTTGTCATTATATCAAATTCATTACGTAACTAACTCAACAAAAGCTTCCATTAAAAAATGTGTTTATTATTTTGTTCTTTTGTATAAAAGCAAGTTCAAACTTTGATGCATACACGTGGATGACAAATCTACATGATGCATCTTTGTGAGTGTTTATTCAAAAGGGAAAATTGTGCATTCTTCCACCTGTTGTGTCAACTATAGAAATTTTGTCTCTCTTATTGGAACAAAATGACAAAGACTTGTTGTACCTTACTCAAGAGGTGCATGATAATCCTTGCTATGATAATCCTTATTTAATTTTTATTTAATTTTGAATAGAAAATAATTTTGTCCCCTTGATTTGTCACAAACGTTAATCTTCTCAAGACTATATATAAAAGGTCCCTTACAACGTTGAAGATGTTGATCTTGGTTGAAGATTTAAAGCAAATTTTGCTCAAGTCCTTTCGTGAAAACTATCAAGAGACTAGTCAAAACTTTTGAGTGAATAATCTTAATGGAAAATCCTAGTGAGTTAACTATATAACTTAGTTTTTAACTAAATTATGAGTGATCAAAGTGTTTGTGACTTTCATATCTTTATTGTCACAAGTTAAACACTTGTAATCTTTCAACCTTTGTGTTGTAAGAATTTGAAGAGAGTTAACGAGAAAGAATACTTGGTGAAGTTCAACTCATGATGAATATGGAAGATTTAAAGCCTAAAGAGGCAGAGAATACTTGTGTGTAGAATAGAAAGACACTAAAAGGGGGTGAAATAATATCTATCAAAAACTCAATACTTTTTTGAAATATTGAAGTAATTACACGAGAGCAAATGAGTGCAGATAGAGTAAAACAAAGAACATAAGACATTTTTATACTGATTTATCTCAATAATCAAGACTGCTTCTAGTTTTTTGATCAAGTTCACTATCTTTCACAAAGATATAAGTATTATTTCATAAGTTACTTATGGTTCAACCTAAGTATTTTTTAACTTGCCTTATCAAGCAAACTACCTAAGTATATTTTGAACAATGAAGTCTCTCCAAGCTTCAATAGCAAGTATTCTTTTAAAAAGAAAGTCTTTTTAGATTTCAAGGTAAAACACACAGTTTAAGTCGAGTGAATTAACAAAGAATTCGTCTTACAAACAAGGCACGATAAACTATTAAGTACAAAAAATGAATGAAAAGTATGTTTGTAAGTTGTCTCTTTTTTGAACAATAAGGTCTCTTTAGGTTTCAATGCAAGTATTCTTTAAATAACAAAGTTTTTTCAAGTTTCAAGCTAAAACACAAAGTTTAAGCTGACTAAATTAGCAAAGAATTCGTCTTATAAACAAAATATGATAAACTATTAAGTACAGAGAGTGAGTGAAGAATATGTTTGTAAGTTGTCTCACACTTCATTTTGAGATATTGAAGATTCTTTGTGTAAGTGAGTTTCAAAGATGACCATTGCAAATCCTTGAGTTATACTTATAGACTTGTTTCGTCTTATTTCGTCTTGCCTCCTTTAAGAGTTAGGTTTCCTTAGTTATATTAAATGTATTTCACCAAATGGTGACTTCTTATATAATTAAGGAGGTTACTTATTACCTTTATGTTACAAAGAAAAGTAATTGTTATGAGTATCTGTTAAGACTGACTTATAGTTGACTTCACATTCATTGACATAATTAAAGAAGCTTTTCACCAAATGTTGACTTTATGCATTGCGAGTATCGAAAAAGATTTTATTTCTTTGATCTATTAATTAAGGAATAACATGAAAGTAGATGATAGCAACATCAATCATATTAAATGTGATATTTAAAACATTCATTTTAGATAAATGAAGTGTTCAGTCTAAAGAACTATCATGCATTTTCCAATTTCAATATCATCTTTGCCTATGATATATACTATCATTTTGCATTGGATCTTTTTATGCCTTTGGAAAAACTTTCACATTTGTTAACATTAAAATATAACTTTTGAAAGGTCCTAGATTGTCCTTTGATTTAACAACTTGGTTTGTACTCTCAAGTTGAGTAGTGAACATCCTTCAGTGACAAAGAATTGGATGTATGGGATTAAAAGTGAGCAAGTATAAAAAATTTTCTACGTTTATTTTATTCTTTATTCATTTATTGAAGGATCTATCTAGATTTCTTTTAAGCTAAATCATTTGTTAACTTGTATTTAAAAAGTTTTAAGTAAAAATTTTTTAAACACATAGTTCAAGCATTTTGAATTAACATGTTTATATGTGTGTGTAATATGAATATAGCTTATAAGTAACGTGATTACTTGTGCATTAACTAATTATGGTTTGAAATAAATGTTTGTATTCTCTTTGTTAAATCACATCAAACAATACCTACAAAAAGAACTAGTAACCACCTTAACATGACTACCATGGCACATTTATTGTGTGTTAGCTCTTCTCTCTCCACAACATGGGATGCTTGAGAGCTAAGATAGATAAAATTCTTGAAGGATCTAATCCCAAAACACAAAAGACCATACACTCAAAACACTTACATTGTGTTTGGTAGCAACGAAATACCAACTAGAGAGAGGAAATAACACAATTGAATTTTTTTTACTCTTTTGGTTAATAGGATTTGTGTCATATGAAAAATTTATAGATCTGAGATCCATGTTTATAAATTTTTTCTCAAAATTGAGTGGAAATAATGAAGAGAGAGGTAAACTTTTTTCTTAAAATTTTATCCCCATCAAAACTTCTCTCATTTGAATATGAAAAAAAGGTAGAGTTGTTTGGTCATGTGTATTGAAATAGCATGGGCCACTACGAGTATTGTATTCAAATATGGTTTTTTTTATTCGAATGAGTATCCTAGTTATTTACCTTTATTCGAATTGGCTTCCACTTGTTTGTGTTTTATTCAAATGGGCTTGTATTTGTTTGTGTATTTTATTCGAATGAAGTTGCTTTTGTACAAATATGATTTTGGGTGTTTTACTCGAATGTGTATACATGCATTTCAAAGTTGTATTTGAATAGGTGAATTTTGTATTTCATTGAAAGTTATTTTATTTGAATACAACCAAATAATAACACCTAAAAGTTGTTTTATTCGAATAATTATGTTGTTTATTTGAATAAACAACATTCCAATGATGTATTTATTTGATTGTATTCGAATAACATCAAATAAATAAGTTTAATTTATTTGAATGAAAAATGAATTTAATTGAATTAAAAAATTGAACGTACTTAACTTGAAAGGGTAAAATTATAATTTCTTTCTTTTCCATCCATTTAAATCAAATAATTTTATAATATTATTTTTCTTCTATTTTTCTTATTTATTTCTCTCAAATCAAACAAATTCATTTTCAGCCTATTTCTATTTACTTATTTCTCTTTCTTCTCTTTCTCTCCATCCTATATCTCATCTATTTCTCTCCTCTCAACCAAATGTAGTGTTAACCTCACAAACACTCAACACATTCCTCTCTCACCTTAAATTGACAATGCCTACAAACTCTCTTTTCTACATCATCTTCAAAGAACCATAACCCTAAACACCAAGCTTTCATCATTTGTATCTCCAACTAAGTTTGAATTGTCAAAGCAACAACATTTTGTCACTATCGTGGATGAAACCACTACCAATATACGTTGTGTACAAATTCGACATAGAATACTTGGACAACATTGGTGTAAGGATCAAGCAAAATTGAACCTAAAAAAACTATGGCATTTTGGGTTATTATCAACTAGGCTAGGTGATATATCCAAAGATGATATAAGTGTACCGGAGAAACCCAACTATTCACAAGACTTGCATCAATGGCAAGGTCTTGGGTGTTGAAGTAATGATTGACATTCTCTCTATTACTACTACCATTGGTAGAGGTGTGCATATTTAGATTTTTTTTAAAAAAAAAATCACACCAAGAATTGCACCATACTATTTTATCAAATTAAACTGATTTATAAATTATTTAAACCACATTAATAAATTAATTCAGAACTAAACTAATTTTACAAGCAAGTTCATAACTAGTTTAGAATCAGTTTCAAAAACAAACTAATTTCAAATTGATATTCTTAAGAAAAATGATTTTTTTTTCTTCCAAAATTGTGGACAAAGTATGATTAATACATTTTTTGAAACAAGTTAAAAAAACTTTTATTAGTTAAACATTAACCCAAACTAATTAAATATATGAACACATTATAAGAGATAGAAAATTGTTCATTTTATTAAAATTTAATTTTTTAAAAAATAAAAAGAGAAAATTTACAGAAACGAATCCATAAAGATCAACTAAAAAGAATTAAACAAAAAATTAATTATTAAGTATGATTAACTTTGAATTTTCTCCTCAAATTTCTTCGTCCTTTCTCTATACACCTCAACGCAAAGAAACGAAACCCACACAAGGCTCCCAACGATGGCGAAGGACACCACAACGACCCAAGAAACCCAAACCCACGTGGCAATGACGCCCTCACCACCTCCCCGCGAATAAACGACCACCATTCTGAAAACAACACAGGGCCCAAACACGCCTCGAATCACCGAATACAAGCAGCAAAACGGCACCGTAAGGGCGTCACACACCCTCGCCGCTCGCGGCGCCTCGCTCCGCCTCGCACGTGCCAGCATCCACGCGTCCAGGAACGCGTTCGTGGCCTCCCCGAGGGCCAGGAGGGCGAGCACCGCCACGGCGCCATGGGCGGCCACGTCGCGGCACGTGACGAGCACGAAGAGCGTGGCGAGGTGGTGCGTGAGGAACATTGCGTCATCGGCGCCGCCGAAGAAGACGGCGAGGTGGACGAGGTCCGCGACAAAGTACGCGGTGCTGTAGTCGAGTACGAGGTTCTGGAATCTGGTGTTGGCGGCGGCGAGGTTGCTGCTGCGGGCGGAGAGGATGGCGGCGGTGGCGACGACCGCCGCGGGAGTGCCGTGGAAGAGGGACATGAAGCAGCTGGAGGCTTCGGGTCGGGTCTCGGGGCTCCATTTGCGGAAGACGATGAAGTAGCCGACGAGGTAAATGGAGAAGTGAATTAAGAGGAATAACATTGGAAATTCGAACGCTTGAGTTTCCATTTTTCTTTGGTTTTGGGATTTGGGAGAGAGATCAATGGTTTTGTGGGTCCAATGATTTTTTATGCTAGTTTATGCTCTGGTTTTAGTGGATTATAACGATTGTTCTTGTGATCATCAATGTTACCTACTATGATACTTTGTCCTAACTTGTACCTTGTTTGTTATGTGCAATTCTAGTTTATGATACCATGGCAACTTTGTTGCTGAACCTGAACCAATTTCTTTTTAAACCAAGCCGAATGCTATGCTCTTAACCTCTTGTAGTTCGGAACATTTAAGTCGGTAATTAAGAACCATGAAATTCAATGTTCCTTCTTTTGCTTCTATTCATTTATGGTTTCTTTCATTCGAATCAATTTTTTTCTTTTCAGCAATCCGCATGTATTAAATAACTATATTTCAACAAGTGGCACATATTTATTAACGAATAAGACCAAAATCAGTTATGTTTACCGATTTTAGTAGAAATTTTTAGCTTTAGTTACCCTTTTATCTTTTATCTGATATAGTTGCATGAACTTTAGTTTTTAGTTTTAATAATTAAAAATAATTTATTTTAGTGTACCTTCTTTTTATAGTTTCATAAATTTTATACCCTATACAATAGAAGACAAAGATTAAAAGAGAAAAAATATGACATGCATAAAGACTAAATTGAACATTTTTAACTAAAAGTAAAGTTTATAATATTATAGAGATAAAAAATTGATTAAACCAAGTTTTTATTTAGTAGCAAAACTCCTATCAGCTAGTAAATGGAAACAACATTTGTTTAAGTATTTGATGATTGAAGAATCCCAATGTCCACTTCTACAGGGGTCCTGATGTAACTATACTGATCCTCTCATGGATCATCACCTTGTACACTCTATGACAAATGATTGAGATGCATGAAATGGTTCCAGGGAAAAGGTTTGATAGATACCATGAAAAGCTAGGTCTTTACATTGTGGTGCCTCAACAGCTTGTGGTTGAAGTTGGGGTGAACATTGTGTACATGGTCACTGGGGGAACATTATGTACTTTTAGAAAAATTTATCCAAAGAAATTGTATATATTATCTGCAATAACTATCAATAAGCTTTACTTCTGCTTGTTGAATGTGAATGATTCACTGATACAGAAATTATCATGTTAATATAGTCTTCAATGTTGCCTTTTTCCTACAGTTACTCTACAATTGCTTGGGCAGCTTCTCTAGACAAGGGTGTTCAAGATGATCTACAATATGGTTACAAAGCTAAGAGCACTTCAGGAACAGTGTTTAACTTCTTCAATGCCCTTGGCACTGTGGCCTTTGCCTATGCTGGGCACAATGTGGTGCTGGAAATCCAAGCAACAATCCCTTCCACACCAGAGAAGCCCTCCAAGGTTCCTATGTGGAGAGGAGTGGTTGTTGCCTACATAGTTGTGGCTATATGCTACTTCCCTGTTGCTCTCATTGGTTACTGGATGTTTGGCAATGAGGTTGACTCTGACATCCTCATCTCTCTAGAGAAGCCAGCATGGCTGATTGCAATGGCTAACTTGTTTGTTGTTGTTCATGTAATTGGAAGCTATCAGGTCAAATTCAATTTCTCTCTCATTCTTTACTTGTTGAAAGCTTTATAGTGTGTTTGGATGAGGAATTTTACAAATTCAAGGAATTTTAAATTCTTGGTATTTGAATTACTTTGATTTCAATTTCTATCATTCTTAAAATATTTTGTTTGGATGAGTCAATTCAAATTTCTTAAATTTTAAATTGTTAGGTTGAATATGATAATTTTATTCCATCATAGTAAAATTAATTTTAAAAATATATTTATATGTTGAGATTTTTAAATTAAATTTTATAAAAATAAATATTAATCCATTTTTAAATATTTAATAATTTTAAAATTAATATTAGATAACATTTAATAATTTTAAAAATTAATATTAGATAATGTTTAATAATTTTAAAAATATTTTTGAATATCCAAATAATTAAAAGAATGAAGAGATAAGATAAAATATATAGGTGAAATAAGAAAAACAAATATGAAGAATTTCAAATTCTTCCATTCTTGGGAGAATTTGAAATTCTACTATTTTAAGGAATTTCACAAATGCTTGAATTTCAAATTCCTTGTAAATTCTTCATCCAAACAAAGCATTTCACCTCAAGGAATTTGAAATTCTTCAAATAAATGAATTACCCTATATAAATTCCTCATCCAAACACACCATTAATTTAAAGTCACACTGCATTTTTCTTTGGAGAAATTATTGTATGGTAAGAAACCACTATGCGTCTATGATCCAACCCATCACCATGTCATGTCACATGTAACTAAATTTTTCAATTTACGAGGTTAAGTTAAATAAAATTTAATTACTTGTTGCATGGAGATCAGTTAAGATCATAGACACATGAAGAATCGGTCTAACTATAAGTGAGGTTTGAAATAAATTTTGGGTTTTGTTTTTTTTAAATGAAAAAGGTATATGTTAAGTTTTTTTTTTTTTTTTTTTAAATATGAAACCTTTTTGTCAACATATATATGTAATTTTTTACTTTATAAAAACTAATAACAAATGTTTTTGTATTTGTAGACTTAAAGTTTAAGTTTTAGTAGCTTTATTCTTGGACGGATCCTGTACACATGGTATTCTTGAACTATACAAAATTTATTATCCTTTTCTAATCATTATATTAAAGTAACTATAAGTGTCTAAACTGCTGCTTTATGTGACTATTTGGTGCAGATTTATGCAATGCCAGTGTTTGACATGATTGAAACTGTGATGATGAAGAAATTGAATTTTGAACCAGGCAGAATGCTTCGTTTTGTTGTACGTAATGTATATGTGGGTAAGTATCTCTTTCTGATCCGAATCAAGTAATGTAAATGTTTTTGACATGTTATTGTATCACTTCCAATGGGTTTAATTCCTTCGGATATGTTCATTGATGTAACCTCTTATTTCAATTTTTTCAGCATTCACAATGTTCATTGCTATTACCTTCCCATTTTTCGATGGTCTCCTAGGATTTTTTGGAGGCTTTGCTTTTGCCAACAACATACTTCGTAAGCCATGACTAATTATTATATATTTAGTTCATAAGTTTTCTTAGGATTATTATAATTGTGCCTAACTGTTTATTTTGTTATTTATATTTTTAACTCCCATGTATCATGTGGTTTGCAATCCACAAACCAAGGAGATTCAGCTTGTCTTGGATCATTAACTGGGTATCTTTGAATTTAACTCGATCTTGTTTCAATATTTCTCTTCAGAAAAATTTACATATTAAGCCCAATCTTAATCATGCTCCATTTACAGATCTGCATTGTGCTTGGCCTATGATTAATGATTTTATCACCTATTGGAGGATTGAGGACAATCATAATTAAAGCTAAGACCTATGAATTTTACTCTTAGACTCTTTCCACTCTTGACTCATCATTGAAAGGTGTAGCATACAAATTAGAGAAGTGAAGTTGGTTGAGATGAAGTTAACTATATTGACCTGTGTGTGATTGCAAAAGATTGCTCGTATAGTATGCCCACTATACTTGTTGATGGAAGAGGAAATTAATACCACGGAATCAAATGAATGAGAAATTTCTAGATGCTTTTTTACTTTGTAATTTTCATTATAGGAATGTATCATTTAAATTTTCTCTTTGCTCTTACTTATTCTTGTAATGGCACCTATTTTGTAAAGAACAAATAGCATGTTTGGCTTTGATTAAATTTGGGGAAAGAAGCATTTTTTTCCCCCTTTTAAAAACTTTTTATGTGAACTTTTGATTATAAATTACTTTGATTAATTTTGTACTTTTGATAAATTTCTTTCACTCTACCAAATACACCCTTATATAGGCGGTGAAGGTGAGTTTCAAATAAAAGACCCTAATTAAACTTCTTGTTCACCTCTAACCATCTACGAGACGCGGGATGAATTTGGTTGAGAAGACCTTTTGGTCAGAAATTCTAAAAATTAAAAAAAAAAATTAAATACAGTTTCTTAAATATAATTAATATTATTTTCTAATTAGAATTAAAGTTTTACTTCAATAATATTTACAAATATGTGTAAATATATATTAATAAATTTATATTAAATATAAGTCAATATTATCCAAATAAAATTTTGATCTCGATTAAAATCTATCAACTATACCTAAGAAATTTTACATATGATTTATCTAAAATATCAAACTTGACAAAGGCATGGTCGTTGCTCGAATTTTGGCCCAACTTGGTCTGTTTTGAATAGATATCCATCCTTGTTCTAGTTCAATTCAATATACTTGGTATTTCGGCCTTATTCTTAGCTTGGTATGAAATAGGAAAAGATTATAGTCATATTTCTTATTTAATATATTAAAAATAAAAAAAATGCAAGTCATATTTCTTATTTAATGGTTCTTATAGGTAATTTCATAATAACTTAAATATGTTTTTAATGAATAAGTTTTAATTTTTGTCCCGATAAATTCTTTTTATTGTTTTCTGTTCCTCTATAATTTGAAATTATTTTTTTTCCTTTATGTGATCTTTATTAATTACTTATATGTTTATCAAAAGATTAAGTGATAATCTCATATAACTTTCACAATTGTGAGTTACCATGTCAAAATGTTTCACTTCTAAAAAAAAAGTTAAATTCTTAAATGATGTTATTTTTGTAAACCTAAAAATGAACGTTAAGAATAAAAAATAGACACTTAAGATTTTAAAGAATGAAAGTTAAAAAAATTATACAGAGATCAAAATTAAAATCTACTCATTTTATAAGTAACAAAAATAATTATTTTAAATTTTAGAGAGATAAAAAATACTTTTTTTATATAAAAATATTAATCAAAACTTGCAAATTTATAAGAACTAAATCATATTTAAATTTTTAATTAATAATTTTCAACAAATTTTTAATTAATAAAAAATATATTAGAGGAAATATGTTTTAAAAAATATTATAAACATTCTAAAAAATATATATCTAACCCTGTTTCTCGATGTATCTAAAGTAGAAAAAGCGTCTTCAACTTTTTCATCTTTCTTTTGTACATCAAGAATGTAATTAAGAATTGAGTTAATTATCTATACACTGTCAGTGTAAAGTTTTTTCCACCGGTAATCAATCATATCGTTTAAAGTTGCTTATTTTATTATTATTTCATTAAATAAGCAACTGACATGATACTATTAAAAGATATGATTAGTTGCCAGTATAAAAAAACTTTACACTAGCAGTGTATATGTGATTAACTCTTAAGAATTTTAGTACATTGTCTTAAAGCATTTTAATCATAATTTAAAAAAAAAAGAAACTAACAGGATTTTGATGATAGATGATAAGAGTTAATTTGGATGATAAACTAAAATTATAACATTATAATTTTTTTCAAAAAAAAATATTAGTTATAAATTTTATATTTATGTTGAATAACGAATCATGACACAAATTTAAAACTAAAATTAATTATAAGATGTGAGATTTAAAAATTAGACTTAAAAATGAAAAACATCATGTTAACCGTGTTATATTCTATGTTTCAAAATATTTATTTTGTGTGACCATATATTTAAATGGTTTATTAGATAACTTATACCAATTATAGATAAGTGAGTTGTCATTATATCAAATTCATTACGTTACTAATTCAACAAAAGTTTTCATTAAAAATGTGTTTATTATTTTCTTCTCTTGTAAAAAAGCATGTTCAGACAGACTTTGATGCATACACATGGATGGCAAATGTACATGATGCATCTTTATGAGTGTTTATTCAAAAGAGAAAATTGTGCGTTTTTACACTTGTTGTGTCAACTATAGAAATTTTTTCTCTCCTATTGGAACAAAATGACAAAGACTTGTACCTTGCTCAAGAGGTGTATGATAATACTTGTTGTGAATGCTTTGTCCCCCTTGACTTGTCGCAAACATTTATCTTCTCAAGACTACATATAAAACTACCATACAACGTTGAAGATGTTGATCTTAGTTGGTTGAACATTTGAAGCAAAATTTTTACAAGTCTCATAGTGAAAATTATCAAGAGACTAGTAAAAATTTTGAGTGAATAATCTTAATGGAAAATCCTTGTGACTTAATTATATAACTTAGTTTTTAACTTACAAGTCCTATTGTGAAAATTATCTAGAGACTAGTCAAAATTTTTGAGTGAATAATCTTAATGGAAAATCCTTGTGACCTAACTATATAACTTAGTTTTTAACTAAGCTTTCAGTGATCAAAGTGTTTGTAACTTCCATATCTTCATTGTCAGGAGTTAAACACTTGTAATCTTTCAACGTTTGTGTTGTAAGAATCCAAAGAGAGTTAGCAAGAAGAAATATTTGGTGAAGTTCAATGTAACAACCCATTTTTCGCTGGGCCTTAGGCCCAATTCGTGCCCGG